AAAAAAAAAAAAAAAAAGTAAAGTCTTTCTGTGATGTTATGCATACCTCTAGTTCAGCGCTACGTTTTATCTTTATCCGCTCCCCAGGGATGGATACCCAGGTTACCTCTAACTCTTATGACCACAAACAATGCCCTGAGGAGCTATGTCCTTCCAGAACTGCTCTGGGCCACAGGTTTGGGCAGACCATTCTCCAGAACCAGCCTTAAAACACTGCACAAGGAAGGAGCGACCTCCCCTTACTAGTGAGCACAGCTGCTCACACTAATCCATCCTAGGGAGCAGCTCCCTCTTTGTGACAATAGTTATAAGAAAAAAGTAAGACCTTCAAGGAAGGCTTAAGACAAAAATTAGACCCATTCCTCATACACATTTCCCAAAGGAAGATCCAGAGTGCCATAGTAATTTGAAGTATCTTTTCCAACGGGGACATTCTAAGATTCCAGAACATTGCAGTGGAAATGCAAGCAGGATTGGAAACCACACAGAACAGAGCAAGAAGGGAAAGAGAACTTAGGCCCCTGAGAACAACAGGAGCATAGTTGTCATGTCAGCCCTGGCGATCTGTGGCATTTTTGTTAGACAGAATAACACATGGTTAAGAGCAGACTCTGGAGCCAGAAGACAGAGCTCAAGTCCTGGCTCTGGTACTTGATGTGACTTTGGACAGCTGACTTTACCCTCTGTGCCTCAATTCCTCAACTGTTAAAGTAGAAGTATCAGTACCAGTATCATAGAATGTTGTAAAGATTAAGTAAGTTGTTATATGAAAAGTGCTGGCTGGGCACGGTGGCTCATGCCTGTAATCCCAACATTTTAGGGGGCTGAGGTAGGAGAATTGCTCAAGACCAGCCTGGACAACATAGTGAGACCTCGTCTTTACAAAAAAAATAAAAATAATTTAGCTGGGTATGGTGGTGCATGCCTATAGCCCCAGCTACTCAGGAGGCTGAGGTAGAAGGATCACCTGAAGCCCAGATTGAGGCTGAGGTAAGCCAGGATCATGCCACTGCATTTTAGCCTGGGCAACACAGAGTGAGACATTGACTCAAAAAAAAAAAAAGTGTTAATGATGATGCTTGGCATAAAATAAGCATTATGTAAATGTTAGCTGGCATTATACTTATTATTTATTTGAGTCAGCAACTCACTCTGTCACCCAGGCTGCCCAGGCTGGAGGGCAGTGGCACACTCATGGCTGCCACAGCCTCGACCTGCTAGACTCAGGCGATCCTTCTGCTTCAGCCTTCTTAGTAGCTGGAACAACAGATGTATGCCCCACCATGCCCGGCCAACTTTTTGATTTATTGTAAAGACAAGGTCTCGCCAAGTTGCTCAGGTTGGTCTCAAACTCCTGGGCTTAGGCAATCCTCTCGCCTCAGCCTCCCAAAGTGCTGGGATTACACACATGAGCTACAGCATCCAGTCTATTATTGTTATTGTTATTACAAAAGGAAAAAATACACTTTCATCTTCGGCTCTCTGATATTTTGAATCTGATATTTTGGATATCTGTTTTTCACAGCTAAACTTACTCCTCATTGATATAGCTGCCATCTCAAAATGTACATTAAAGATAAGTCGGCTGGGCACACTGGCTCAAGTCTGTTATCCCAGCACTTTGGAAGGCCGAGGTGAGGGAATTGCCTGAGCCCATGAGTTCGAGAACAGCCTGGGCAACTTGGCGAGACCTCCTCTCTACAGTAAAATTAAAAAATTAGCCGGGCATGATAGCGCACACCTGTAGTTCCAGCTACTTGGAAGGCTGAGGCGGAAGGATTGCCGGAGCCCAGCAGGTCGACGCTGGGGTGGCCATAAGTGTGCCACTTCACTCCAGCCTGGGCAATGGAGAGAGACTTCAACTAAAAAAAAAAAAAAAAAAAAAAAAAAAATCAATTTTTCTACATCTACTTTTTGATCTTTAGGAGGAAAATTTGACAAACAACATGAGGTCATAAGTTGGTAAGATGCCAAGCTTGGTGATAGTACCAATTCCAAACCTTTAACTGTCCAGAAGACAAGGGACCAACAGATAAGGTGCTAAACCCTGTTTTGGGGCTTCAAGTTGGGTGCTGGTGTCTGTCCATCAGTCATTTATTTTCAGACAGTAGATAGTTCACCAGCACTTCAGAGAGTGAGAGGAGAGTTTAGTTCTATTTTTCTGCCTGCTGGGAAAATGAATTTCAAACATTCAGTCAAAACCTGTAGCTGAGTGAACCAGCAAAAAGCAGCAGAGAAAGGGAGGAGCAAATGCTCTCTGAAGGGCTTCATTCAGCATAAACAATCTGTTCAGAAGGATCATTAAGCGTCCACTTGAGGAAATTCAACATATAATTGAAGCTGAAATGGGAAACCACGCCAGCAGTATATTCTCTGAGGGCAGCGTCTTTGGTTGTCATGACAGAGCACACAGCAGCCAGGACTCAGACAAGAGGGAATGAGATTTTAAGGGATATTTTATGGTTATTTTAGGA